TCCAACCCATTCAGAATTCTGTCCCACCACCAGGTCTGTGATTTTCTTCAAGCTACTTCATCTTTCCAAGCCACAGTTTTCTCACTCTGTAGGATGGAGAACAAATTTCCTCCATGTGGATACCGTGAGGATTGATTAGAATAGGTCAGTACTTGATGCAGCTATTTATTTTTGCCACAGTCCTTGCCATGATAACTCTCACATCCCATCCAAATATTATAACTAGTATTTATCAGTTTGTCCGGTAGCTCTTCCTAAATTGTTTCAATATAAGGTACAAAGTGTAGGAAAACTTTGATCTTAATGTCATTTGAAATACTTGGAAGGACCCAGTTCTTAGTACTTCAGAAGCTCAAAACTAAGACCCAATATAATGATATGATCATTCAATCCTTGAGGTTTAATTGTGCTGGAATGGCACATAGTCAATAACCTCCTGACAGCCTAGAGGTGGGGCCCTGGCCCAAATCTGCATGAGGGAACTGAGGTCGCTGAGGATGGATGTGGTTGCTAAGGTAGAGGGCGAGGGCCGGAAAAGAGCCTGCTCTGTTGGCCTCAAAATCTGTGGTTTTTAGACATGTCATTGTCTGGTTAAAGAATGGTTTGCACTTCCAACTCCTCTGCATAGACATTTGTTAGGAGCCCATCTTCCTGCTAGTGAGCAAAGGACACAGGGGCTGAGGGCTAAAGAAAGGGATATAATGACAAGAGCAGGCAGCCACACAATAGGGTAGGGACATGGCTGCTTCCTGGCATCCTAACACTCCGTGTTCTTGCAGGGACAGCTATCACACTGGGTATCCTGTTTACCTCTGCAGCCAAAATGTACCTGCAAGGAAGGCTGACTCTACAAGCTGGGCTCAAGTCTTACCTGCATTGACTGGTGTTTCCTCTTCCTGATGATTGGTCTGGGCTTTGGGATGGGTAAGTCTGGATGGGTATAAGGATGCAGAATAGGTATTTTGTGTGTGGACAGAGTTTGGATGAGGATGGGTTCAGACAAGGATAGGGAGGATTGTTCTGAGGCAGGAGACAGGGCTGGATGCACATGGGCTGGATGTGGGGATGGGTTGGGCTTGAGTTTGAAATGGGGTTGGCGACAGTGAGGGATGAGATTGATTCTGGCTTTTGAGGGATGTTTTGGAATAGATGAGGGATGATGGATCGGGGTGGGTTTAAAAATAGGGCTTAGGGATGAGGCTGGTTTGGTGATGGGGTTTTTTGGACACAGTGTTAGGTGTGCTTGGCTTGCGGACGACTGGTTAGGTGTGGCTGTTCATGAACTCTGTGTACATCCCTCCTGTCATTGTTGCTGTTCTATCAGGTTCTATTTCCTCATCTGAATCACAAATTTCTGTCATCCTGGCAATCCAGGCCATCTGGTCTTAGGATTGGAAATGACCACACGCTGGCTGCTCCCAGCTCTTTGTCATGCACTGATCACCTGGTCTCAGCCCACCTAACACCAAGCCCTTGTCCTTTTTTCGTCCTTCTGATCCTCTCAACCCAGATTATAATTTGATTTTTAAATTGTATTCTCTGCCCAGACTATTCTTTCATTTAGTCGAGTACTTGTAAGTATTCTGTGAATTGCAATCTGGACTCTGCACCTAGAGGGTACAGGGAAGGGAGGAACTCAGAGGGGAAGGGACTCAAGGTACAAGATGGGCAAAGGGCTGGCCAACAGTCTCTGGCGAGAGACAGCACCCCAGAAGGGGACAAGGCCAGGTGTCAGGGCCCGTGGCCAACATTTGAGGCTTTGTTTTGTTTGGAGTGGGCAGTGACAGAAATGGCTCTTATTTCCCCAAGGAGGTGTTATTGGTTTCTTCTTGTATTTTTTACCAAGGTTCATGAAGGAGTTTCCTCACTAGAAGGAGAAAACCACCCAATGACAAGGGGACAGCGTATTTATCACACAAAGGAACTCCTCTTGGCCTTTCTGTACGTCACGGCATTATAGTGAATATAATAATTAAAAAAAGCATCTTTACCCCATAAATTGATATGTCATGTGTGTGGATATAAAGTAACAAGTCCACACCAAATTGTTGAGATAATGGCCATCTCTCGGTGAGGGAGTTTGGAGTATAGGAGTTTCATTTTTTTTTATTTTTCAAAAAAATTTTTAACTCACGTCAGTTGAAAGATACTCCTCAGATATCTATCCTACCATAGGATCCAGCCCCGCAGCTCTCGTCTAGAACGGGATGAGGCCAATTCTTGACTTCTCCAGCCCAAGTGTCTCTTCTCCCAATGGCAGGATCTGACTCGCGCCCCTCTCCCTCGACCCCGGAGGTCCAGGGCCCCTAGTCCCTTCTACCCTAGCCCTGGGGCCCTCCCCCACACTCTGGGGTCCGGGACCTCCTACTCCCTCCTCCTTCAGACCCGGGAGTCCGGCCCCAGCCTCACCTCCCAGACGCAGGTTCGCCTTCCCCTACCTGCGTCCTGCCTAGGACGGCCCCTGCATTGCTGCACTGGCCCTGTCAGTCTCTGCTCTGGAGCCCGGACTTACTTTGGTGCGGCGTTCAGCATCCACTACGCCTCGCGGCCACGAGCTAGGGCCCTGCTGCCTGGCACTTCAGGTGCTGCTGCCTGCCTCCTTCCTCTTTCCTCCTCCTTCTCCTTCCTTCTTCCTCCCTCTCCTTCTCCTTCTTCCTTCCTTCTCTTCCTTCCTCCTTTTTTTCTTCCTTCCTCTTCCTTCTTTCTTCTCCTTCCCTCGTTCTCTTCTTTCCTTTCCCTTCTCCCTCCTTTCTCCGCCTCCCTCCTCCCTCTCCCCCCTCCCTCCTTTTCTTCCTTCTTCCTTTTCCTGTCCTTCGTTCCTTCTTCCTATCCTTTCTTCCTCCCTCCTTCGTTCCTCCTGCCTCCTTTCTCTATACCCTCCCCATCTTGCCTCCTCGCCCTTCCGCTTCCCTCCTGGTTTTTTCATTTTTTTTTCTGGGCTTCTTCGCCCTATTTCCCTCTCTTCCTCCTTCTTTCTCCCTGCCCTTCTCCCTCTCTTCTTCCTTTCTTTTTCTCTTGTTTATGTGTCTTTTTTTTCTTTTAAATAATTTTTTTTCGATGCTTATAGTGTACAAGTGGATTCATTACATGTTTTCAACATAGTCTTCTTTATATCTCTTACCCTAGTATATTATTTTTATAATGTTTTACAAAAGGTTTGTGATCTTTGTTTAGTTTTTTCCGTGGGATTTGTCGTGTGGAGTATTTTAAAATGCCAGTGGTATGTTTCCATGCAGTCATTATGTATTATTATTAAATTTAATAATATGTATGTTGTGTTTGGTAAATAAGAAATTTAATTCAATTTTCCTTGTATCTGACTTTGTCAAGTTTAAGAGTGTAGAGTGTGTGAGTTCGGTTTTAGTTACATCACTCCTGGATAGTGGCCCTGTAGTACCCAATAGTAATTTTTCATCCCTCCCGTCCTCATCTTGGCCCTCTTTGTCTCCATATGTCACTTCGTGCGTCTTGGTAGCAGTAGCTTACTCTACTGCTTATAAGGTGAGACACTACTCTATTTTTTTTTTTTTTTTTGTGAGACAGAGTCTCGCTGTTTGCCGGCTGACTGAATGCACTGGCATCAGCCTAGTCACGCACTCATACGTCCTGGCTCAAGCAATCTCTTGCTCAGCGCGCGCCTCGCTGAGTAGCTGGGACTTAGCAGGCATGTGCACCTGCCTGGCTATTCTCATTTGTCCCATATATATACTTTTTAGGTTGGTCAATTATTTCTTTATTATTTTTAAGTAGGTGAGGTCTTGTTCGGCTGGTTCTAATCAAATCCTCATTCAAGCACTCTGCATGTCCTCGGCTCCCAGATGCTAGGATTTGCAAGCCTGGCCACCGGCGCCTGGCCTGAAATGCAGCTTTATCTGAGTTAACCTTCACTAAGATCAATGGCTCAGGTCCATCCGTCGTTGCTGGGTGCTCTTACTTACTCTATACGCAAACAAACTAAAATACTTCTTATTTCTTCTTTTTATACAAAAGAGAATCTATCATCATAAGATATTTTGAAAAATGAGATAAGCAAAATTAAGTAATACCTTAATAAATTCAGTCCTGTAATGTTGTATCCAGAGATAACTTATATTAAATTTAAGTATTCCTTTGTATTATTTTTTAGTTTTGGTATCCATTTGGTTTTTTTAGAGACAAAGTTTGTTGTTGCCGCTGGAGTAGCAGTGGCTTGATCATAGCTCACTTGGCCTCAAACTCTGGGTCTAACATCTCCTGCTCAGCTCCAGGTAGTGGATACAGGCACCCTGCGCACACCATTTTGGTGAGTTTTTGTAGGGATGTGGCTCACTATGGTTGCCCAGGTTATTTTCCCTTTTTAAATGCCTTTTATTTTCTAATGAAATCTTGATTAGATACAATTTACCTATTTTCTCTTTTTAAAAATATTATATATACCTTTCTAAATCTAATTATAAGAAAACCTTCTTTTTTAACAAGAAAAACTATTTTCTCAAGTCTTGCTGTAACAACCAAGGGGACGTCTCAAACAGTAAAGACATTCGCGAATGCCGATATATTGAAGTCGGTCCATGGTAGGTATTGGACTGGCGGCGAAAAAGCGTTCCACCTTGAGAGTGAATCACGCCTCGTGCTAAAATCATTGCGTACTTGCCGCTCGTGCGAACATATAGTTACATAATTTTTGTTTGTCTATTCGTCACGAGACATCCCGTTTGTCCTGGGAGAGACTCTGTCATATGTTTCTTAAAGAATTAACTTGACGTGTTGCCTTTCAGTGGGTCTCACATGCCAGGATAGGAATATGACGCATTTAGTGGTGATTTGCCACAAGCTGTGCAAGGGACAAAGTTCTATTTTCTTCCTACACGCGTCCAAAGACCATCTCCCGTGTTCCGAATTATATTGAATTTCACTTTTTGGTTGGAAAATCGATACGTACCCCCATGAGTGTTCTGGGGCACTGGTCCATGTGATCTGCTCTTGTATGTTGGACGGGGTCTGTAGGCACAAATACTGACCCGACGACCGCTCACAGCTGGTGGAGGGTCTTGGATACTGACCCGACGACCGCTCACAGCTGGTGGAGGGTCTTGGATACTGACCCGGCGACTGCTGATATCTGGTGGAGGGTCTTGGATACTGACCCGGCGACTGTGGATAGCAGGTGGAGAGTTTGGGGTACTGACTCCAGGGTTGTAGGTAGTTGGTGGAGGGTCTTGAGTCTTGGCATGGCTGGTGTTGGTTGCTGCTGTCAGGAAACCTGGCTGGGTGCCCTGGAGGTCAGATAGAGGCCTTTGGGCCATGTGGAGCCGCAGGGCAGGGCCAGTCCCCAGATCCACTCAACAGCCTGCAACTGTCTCAGCCCCTCCTTCCAGATACTTCAGTGGCCACCTGGAAGCCTCTTGGTTTCTCTCTGGGGTTCAGGCTCTGTCCCCCGGCATTTGGATCTCACTGTCCTTTCTTCCGTGATTTTTGGTCTCTCCTGCCATCCACAGGCAGGGCTCAGGGAGTCAGTCTGGCCTGCAGCTGGGGTTGCAGGAAGGTTCTGTGACAGTTAGAAAGGTTCCAGGAGGTTGGGACCTTGGCCATGGCCTCAGACTCTACCCTACCCTTATGTGAGTGACATGGGGGCTAGGGCTAGGTCAGAGCAGACTCACTGTAGGGTATGGACAGGGCCAAAATGGGGATGGGAAGGTGAGGAAGGGGTCAGGTTAAATGCAGCAGGTCAGAGAGGGACCAGGCTAGGATCAAGGCTAGGCAGGGCTGAGTCAGGGCTGGGTCAACAGCATCTCTGGGATGAATTCTAATAGTTTCTGAAGGTCCTGAGATCTGAATTATAATTCCCTCTTCCTACTGTTGCTGAGCAAAAGGGCTCACTGCCTGATATGCTAAACGCCAATACTATGTCACCAGGTTTTTGAGAAAAAAACAAAAAAACACTTTATTGAATTTTTCAGACCTTGCTCTTACTTGGTTGTGAACCCAAGGAGAAGAAATCCTATTGGTGAAATTTCAGGCTGTGAGGCATGTAGCTATGGTGGTGGGCTTTGCTGGTCATTGTGGCCTTTCTTATGGATTGTTTCCATTCAGGCACCAGAACATCACCAAGGAGCCCTGTATCCCTTTCTAAAAGCCTTTCTGTTGTAGATTCACAATTCCTACTCCTGCAGGGGGGTGCCCTTGGGACAGCTCCTCCTTTCTCTCTTGTCTATTTCTGGTCTCCTTTCTTTGATTGGAAATCCTGTTTTGACCTGAGTGTGTCTTTCATGGAGTCTGTCAGCCCTGGTGATGTGGGGCCACTGGCCCTGCCCCAGGTGGCCATCCATCTGGCTTCCCAGGGACGGGCCCTGGAGTCCTCTCTCTTTCTTTGGTCACACCACTCCAGACCTCTTGTAGAATCTTTACTAGGCACACATTTGGCTCTGAGCAGTCTGAAAATAAAGGCCTCTTAAGATCCAAAGCACATGTAAAGATACTGACTTTTGCTCTTGGTTTTTATAGTTGTATTGGCTCTTATTTATTCCATAAACATTAAACTCACCATAGACCGTGCCTCCTGAAGCACTGAGAATTTACTACCTAAATTCTGGGGTTTGGCAAAACATGGAATGGAGGCATGGAGGATGAGACAATTGCACAGTCAACAGGCAGAAGTGACCAGGCCCTTGAGATAATTGGGCTTTAAATGGGTTCTGAGATCCTAAAGTGCCCCACAGTGGTCAGAAAGAAGGATAAAGGTGGGCATTATCAGCGACCACACTCATCATCACCATTAGCATCTACCAAACACCATGTGCCAGAAACTAAGCCAGGCCAGGGACTTCATGTCACCCACTTAACACTCACAGCAACATTGAAACATATATACCATCATCCCCTTTTTGAAGATGAGGAAATTGAGACTCAGAAGAGGTTAGGTCATTTGCCCAAGGTCACAAGGTTAGAATGGGGTGGCAGTGAGCCGGGAATCCAATCTGGCAGACTGGAAATCCTTGTCTCTTTTTCTATGACAGTTACTTCTGCTCTGGGCACTGACTGTTATTTGTCTACATCTTCAGAAGATATGTCCACTTCAATTTCACACCCTTTTGAGGTCAATTAGGAACCTTGATTTCTGAAGACTGTTTTTATCTGGCACCCATTTCTTTAGGAAGACTTCCTGTGTTTGGGACATTGTCCCCCTCAAGGTGGGGATGGAGCTGTCCTTATTGCAACACACCAGGTCCAAGGGAGACCGTGCATATAAAGCACTTCGCTCAGAGCATGGCCCAGAGGAGGCTCTTGAGGCATCAGCTCTCATCATTGTTTTGTTGTTCCCTCTGTCCCCAGGGCTGCCTATTACTCCCCTCCTCCACACAGACAAAGATTGCGATTGTTTCTTGGACTCGGGTGCTGGCAGATTTTTGCAGGAATATGTCTCATCTTCTCATATGTCCATATTGAGTGTCCTGTAGGTGCAACAGTGATATCGCCAAGTCTCTGGGTGTCAAGCCTGCTTGCTGTCCCTGAGCCTTCTTATTACAACAGGAAAATGATGAGGTGGTGACTGGTGCTCCGGTGAGAGACTCTGATTAGTTTCTACATCAGATTCTATACATGGGAAAGCGTGTATCAAGAAGCAGCATGACATGGAAGCTAAACGATCAAATCTGGAGTTAGGAAATGGAAGGTGTAAATATTTGTGCTGTTCCTGCCAGCTGTATAACCTCTCTGAGCCTCTGTTGCATCTATAAAGCAGAGATAGGAATAACCACGTCACAGCTTTGTGAGGATTCCATGATATAATGATGTTAAGAGTGTGGTCCATAGGAAACACTAAATAAATGTTTATTATTATTTAATGCAAAAAAAATACCCTATTATGAGATGTGTGTTGTAGGTTAATAAGCAATTACTTTAAATGGCTTTTGTCCGCTACTGGGTATGCCTGCTGTTTGATCGCTTTGAAGGAATCAGCCAGCGGTTGGAATCTCGCTAAGTACAGCATGCCCTGATATGCAGAGGTGCAGGGGCTTGGGAGGTCCTGAGGGCAGCAGGCTTAACATGGCATGCTGCTGAGACACTTGAAAAGTCTATTTGAAATGTTTAAATGCAGAGTAATTTGGCAAGACATAGAATCAGGAATGCTGACCAGCTCTAGGCCTCAATTTCCCCATCTGCACAAGAAAAGGGCTGGACTTCATGTTGCTCTCCTACGTCTCTGACCTTTATAAGTGAAGGAGTCTGATTCTGCCAGGACCGTTTTAGCTGCCCTGTGAGTGCATCCGGCAACTCCTGCTTCTGCCTGGTCTGGAAAAACTTGGTATCTGCTGCCCCTCCATGGGGTAGAGCTTTGCAGGGCTCCCGCAGGCCCACCAGCTAGGGCACTCTGCCACTACCCTCTGGGCCTCCCTAACATCCACCAATTCTAGCTCCCATCCTATGCAGGCAACCACAGAAGACAATTCCAACCAACTGCGGTTCCCAGTCCTCCCAGAGAGGAAAGATCTTCTCTCCAGGGGTGCCCTGTCTGTTTTCAGCATAAATGCCCAAAGTGTTCAGAAAGAAAGTTCAGGGGAGGAAAAAAACTGGCTTTAGTAAAACTCGGCTTTTCCCTACAACGAAAACTTGCTTTGGCGTTAAGGCAACGTCGCCATCTGGTGGCCTGACATAGAAATAACTAGACAGAGGGATGGGTTTCTAGTCCACAGCAGATAAGCCACAGAATCCCAGTCGGAAAGAGCTAGGAGGGTCTTTAAAGCTTGGATCCCATCGCCTTGCTTTACTGAGCAACAGAAATGCTGTAGAGAGATGGTTTGTGAATGTCTAGACTAGAACCCAGATCTGCTGACCTTTAGGTGAGTAATCCAGCCCTCTCCCGTCTCCACAACTCACAACCTCCCTCCACCCCTACAAATCCACACCCCATACTTTAGCCTGAAATGTTTTAATAGCTGAGGCTGGCAGGATCAGGATCAGTTCCATCGTGCATGTTTCCTCTTGCTTTTTATCAGCTTCACGGGAGGCAGAAGAGGAAGATCAGAGGAGCTTTCAACTGGCAACCAGCTAAAGGGTTTACAAAGATAAGGAGGAAACATCAGAAGCCGGAGGAAAAGAGCATGGACTGATTTGGGAACCGAAATTTCTGTTTCATGTTTCCAGCCCAGGAGGCAATCGAGCTTGCTTTAATGCTCTGGGACAGCAAGACATATTTGACCGAATAGCAGGGGATTGCTTTCTGTTTGGGGATTTTGGATCCTGAAGATAGTAAGTTCAGTGAGTTCAGTATAGAAACTCTCATTATTTATGCAAAGTGTGAAAAATCCATTATTGTCTGAATCAAGCCATATAATTATAAGCAAAGCCATTTCCACCCCTTATATTTGCATATCACTTTGCAGTTCACTGCATGCCTCAATGTATCTATAATTATTTAATCTTTATAAACGCCCTATGGTGGGAATTATTAGTCATTTCTGGTGAAGAAATGGAGGCTCGGAGAAGTTAAGCAATTTTTCTGAGGTCACACAGCTATCAATAGTAGCACTGAGGCTTGAAAGGAGGAAGGAAACTTAATATTTAATCTAGTGTGGGCCAAGTGAGGCACAAGTGCTTCCAAGGAAAGTCTTAGGGGCTTCTCCCCTTGGGGAGTAGCAAGAGGTCAATCACTCATTCTTTATTCCTTTATTCTTTATTCTTATAGCCTGACACCTCCAGAAGCACACAGTCTTCCTGAAGCTACCCCATCCTATTGTTATTTGCTTAACTGTAGAATATACTAGAAAGCCATATGACATCCATTTTAATTCAAAATTCACTTGAATTTTGAATATTTGAATATTTTTCCAAATATTACAATCTCTCTTCTAAGACATAGTGGCACAACAGAACTCAGCATGCAGAGGCCACTAGCCTGGGTCCAGGCATGGGATTGTCAGAGGGCTTTTCATCCACTGACTACCTAAACCATTTCCAAGTTACCCTTTTGTAAGTGCCCAGACAAGGGGATTCTCTGTGCCTTCATTTTTTTTGTAAATACCGGCTCTCCTTTGCTGGGTCTTCACCTCTAAGTATTGGGACGTAAAGCCCAGTCCTTGGATGACTACTCTTCCATATCTAATCTCCCTTTACAAGTGGGGTCGTAGAATTTTATGCCTTCAAATGCCATCTGTGTGTTGATCATTCATAAACTGACACCCACATCCCGGCCTCTCCCTCTGCACTCCTGCTAATACGTGCAGCTGACTGCTCGACATCTGCACTGTGATGCCTAAGGCATCAAAATGAGTAATTCCACATCCAAAATCTTGGTTTTCCCCAACCCCTAATGCCTCCTTTCACAACTTTTCTCATCTCAGTGAATAGAAATTCCATTCCCTTAGTTTCTCGGGCCAAATTCTTTGGTGTCCTCCCTGGATTCTTCTCTTTCCATCACGACCCATGGCCAGTCTGTCTGTAAAGCTTGTCAGCTCTGCGGTCACAGCATTTGCTACGTGTCATCCTCCATTTCTACCCAGCCACCTGGACTACTGCGGTAGCCTCGGACCTGGTCTCCTTGTGCAGCACCCAGAGTTGTTCTTTGAAGGGGTGAGTCAGATCATGACCCCCTTTGCTCAAAACCTGCTGAGGGGTCTGCATCTTGCCTCCATGGCTGCCCCATGACCCAGCCCTCTACCCTCGTAACCCGGCCTTAACCCCCACTTTCTAGCACATTGCTGCTTTGTGCCCCACCCTCTAGACAGGTCAGGCACAGAAGAACAGGGGCTTCCCTTTATTCCACACTGCAGCTAGTACCTAGACAAAGGCATGTCTGGAACATAGAGGATGCTCAACAAATTTTTGTCGAAACACAAATGCTTTTTCCCTTAGCCTGGTTCGTTCCTTAGCACCGTCAATCCTGCATCTAATCTAACTGCCCCCTTCTGCACTGTCGCCCTAGATCATCTTCCAGTGTGCCCAGTGGAGAAGGCATCCTGCAAAGTTCAAGGGCTTCCCTCCACCACCTCTTCCCACGCTGGGGCGAGGCTGTGCCCTCCGGGCTCCCGGCCTTCTCTTCCAGGCACTGTTTCCCCATGGCCGCGAGATCTCCCCATCAGCGGCGGCTCAGCCCATCGCCACCCCGCGTGGTGCCAGGCGGGAGAGCCAACCAGGAACTGAGACCTCACCGGCCCCAACCATGCGCCAGGCGTGCCCAGCCGTCAGCCAAGACCACACCGATCAGGAGCTGGCAGTTCTAGATAAGGACAAACAGCTGAATCCTTTCTTGATCCCTCCCCCCCTTAAGTTCAGATCACATCGGCCTTGCCTCACTCACAACTGGGAGGTTTGAGTAAGGGAGCAAGAGGGGGCGCGGAGAGAAAAAGGGCTAAAACTAAAGAGAAGAGGGAAAGGTTTTCGGGAGAAATGAGAAACATCAAGGTACCAGCTGGGGCTGGGGCTGAACCGTGGGAGAAGACAGTGACCTTGGGGACACTGAGGATTACAAAGATGCCCCTCACACCTGCCATGTTACCAGACGTTCAAATTCTTATCACTTGTGGGTTGACGAGAATCTTTTTTTAAAATGCAATATTCCCAGGCCTATTAAAACAGTCAACTATGAATCACACACCTTATTGTCCATCGTGGCAGCTGTTTGGTATCAACCCTACTGTGGAAATAAGGTATTGACAGGAAGTGGAGGAAAAGGAATGAGATTCTGAGAAACAATGTTTTCAAAGAAGGGTCAGGCAAAAAAAAAAAAAAAAATCAGAGGGCCACGAAAAGGGCTCAGGACATTTTGGAAAGAAGAGGGTGAGACAAAAGAAGGGCTTCCCTCCTGGAGACAGGGAAATAGGCCGAAAAAAGGAGATGGCCAGGCACTAAAGGAAAGCCATTATACAAACCCCTGGGAAATTATTACAAATGCCATTATTTGAAATCAAAATATAAACTTTCACTTCAATAAAATATATTGAGAAACAAAGGTAATAAATGCTCAAACCTCATCAGTTCTTAATAATTAATATGTTACTACATTTTACTATTATCTGTGCTCTCGGAGTTGTTTATGTCCATTGTAGCTGCACAGGCATAACCCTACGTAATGGTGTGCGTCTCCTCCCGACTCTGTTTTGCAATGCCACATTGGTAAGGTAGAAATTGGGCATGGCAAACACTACAAAACACAGAAATCAGCGAACACTACAAATCAAGGCTTGATTTATTGTTTTGTTGACTATCCAAACCAGGGGTTGGCAAACCTTAGTTTGCAAAGAGCTATCGACTAAATACTTTTGGCTTTGTACCCGTACAATCTCTGTCCAACCTACTCGACTCTGCCATTGTAACACAAAAGCAGCAATAGACAATCTGCAAAACAAATGGGCACAGCTGTGTTCCAACAAACCTTATGTATGAAAACAGATTGAAGGACCAGATCTGGCCCCTGGATCATAATAGTTTACAAATCCCTGGTCTAGACTTTTACAAAGTGATAGAGAAATGTTCATAATGCAGATTAAATTCTAAAATGTGATTGTAGCCAATGCAGGGTGAGTAGCACAAAAAAAAAAAAATGAAGGAAATACTCTTCCAATGTTTGAAAACTATCATGTAATTCATCGAAGAAGTTGCTCATCTTACTGACAAATGATTAAAGGCCCAATGTACAGTTTTTTGTTTCATTTTCTTCTTAATCATTAACATTAGGGGAAATATCAGCCCATGTGTTTGTTGGAACTATACTTGTTTAATTGTAACAATAGATTGGCTACACTTGGATCAAGAGGCTGAAGCAAAAATGAGTAAAAGCATCATGTGAGTATCAATTGGCTATAAGGAATTTGCAATAGAGTATTGTGTATTTTAGTGTTATTTGTAAATTGTGTTCATGCAATCTTTATCACTAAATATTTACCAACTCACCAGAGACCACCACTTTCTTCATATCCTTCAAACTATTTTGTTAAGGTCTAGGCCAAACAATACAGGGTTTTACAACCTTTGAGAACAAATCAGGTGCCATATGCAACATTTGTTCTTTTCCCGTCGTCACCTCTGCCCCGTCCATAGGATAGCTCAAAGAAGATCCCAAGGCATCCACAAGGGACTCCCCTAGTCTAGAAGCCACGAGATCCATAGGGTCCTGTGCTCTTTTTTTCAAATTGAACCCCAATTTGGAGTTCAACGGGAGACTCACACCCTCAAGTCCCTACACACTCTTCCTGGGAGGCAAATCCTCTTTTCCAACCCAAACTGGGCAAGTGTTCTGACAAAGGTGTTGCACATGGAAACTAGGAATGTCGCAGGAAATTGAGGAAAACCACATCTGGTTCCCTGGACTAGGACAGGTTGTGCCCTTTGTACATTCCCATAGCATCTCATACTGCTTTTTCATGGCGCCTGGCTCAAATGTATCTAATAGACTATTTGTGGAGTTATCTGTTTAATGTCTGTCACCCTTGGCTAGACTGGAAGCTCCAAGAGGCCAGGGACACATGCATCTGCCCCCTGCAGTATTCCTGATCATCCAGCACACAGTAGGCACTCACTAAATGCACTGAAGGAATAACTGGAGGTTAATCTCTCTGAAACTCATGTACAAATGACAATAATGCCCACTTCGCAGGATTCTCATGAAGATTAAACCAGATAACCCATGTGGAAGCCCTTGCCTAGTGTCTTATATATAGTTGACAATACATGTTTGTTGAACAACTATAAACACTATAACTTCTAAGGTGGCACTTCTTTAAATGAGTCTTGTATAAGGACTAGGTTAGTAATTAGCACTTGTGAAGGTTTTTTTATTAGGTGATTAATGCAACTTAAACCTCAGGTGTTGAGGCTAAGGTATTATTAAGACTAGTGTTGATTGGCATTTGCTGGGCATGGACAGTCGCTTCATGCCAGACCAGGACACACGGAAGTGTTGTCCTGGGGGATGGGTTCACCACAAGCTGGGGAGACAGACAGGATAGAGCTGTCTATGGTTAAGCAGAGCAAAGGAGACCCTTGTCTGCAGATAAAGCCACCATGATGCATCCAGTGTGGGGACTTTAAGACTCCGCCCAGAACTCAAAAAATGTATTTGCCCTTTAGTCTTTCTTAGGAAGCTCATAGGTTGGATGCCCCATCAAAGCAAGGAAATAACCCAAGAGACAGAAAGATATCGGATCCAGGACGTAGCTGATCCAACAACAAATGGGAGACTAGAATTCCCAGGATGATGGAGATGGGACAACCCAGGAAGGCAAGTGAGCCGCCACCCAGAACGGCCACCCAAGCAGGTTGGAGGGTTCTGGGAGCAATGTCAGCAGGGGAAAGGACAGAGCCAATAGACTCTCCTACTGAGAGAAGAGGTTGGATAAAGAGTTGGGAGAAAAACTGATGATAGTACTTAGAAAACCAAGGAAAGGAAAAATGGGGTAATAGTGAACTCCAGGCTGAGGTTGGGGTTGGAGGATGGAGGAGGATGAGGAAGAAGAAGAAAACATAATCCTAACTATTATAAGAACAGTATTTACATAGCGATAACACAAATACTGACCTCTGACCGAACCAAAATGGTAGTGTCACTACCTGGAGAGTGGGGAAAGGAATGATGTGCAGAGGTGTGAGGAAGGCTCTGTGACAAACTAATCCTTGTTTTTAATGGCAGTAAACTCAATAAATGATAAATAAGTGGTGATAAGCAAATGATCTGAGGAGCCAGAAAAGCCATTTAGGCATGCAGTTGAGAAATACAGACATAAAAACCAGGCACAACGACGGAAGGGCTGCAGTGCAGGGCTGGGAGGAAAGGAGCTAGACCACAATTGTTTTTATTACAAACCCACAGTACTATTTGAGTGTTTAAACTATAAACGAGCATTTCTTTGAGTAAAAAAGAAAAAGAAATAGATTTTATTTTTATTTATTTATTTATTTATTTATTGAGACAGAGTCTCACTCTGTGGCCCAGGCTACAGTGCCATGGCGTCAACAACCTCAAATACCTGGGCTCAAGCGATCCTCCTGCCTCAGCCTCCCGAGTAGCTGGGACTACAGGCACACGCCACCATGCCCGGCTAATTTTTTATATATATATTTTTAATTGTCCAGCTAATTTCTTTCTATTTTTAGTAGAGACAGGGGTCTCACTCTTGCTCAGGCTGGTCTCGAACTCCTGAGCTCAAGCGATCCACCCGCCTCGGCCTCCCAGAGTGCTAGGACTACAGGGGTGAGCCACCACGCCCGGCCGAAAAATAGATTTTAAAGTAACCAAGGAGGAGGTACGGCAAACAGTGTTTGAGTGATTTATTTTTCTTTTTCTGTATTTCTCAATTTTTAAAAAATGCCCACTGGGAGAAAAATACAATCAACTTTTTGAAACCTAAAAAAGAACATCAAATGTAAATAGGAAGAGCATGGCCTGAAGAGAATTTGGAGAAGAAAGAGGTTTCCTTTGGGATGGATGGATTGGATGCAGGTGCTTAACCATCCACATGAGCATCACCCCTGTGTCTGGTCCACAAGAACCCTTTTCTTTCTCCCACACCCCTGTTCACCACCACCCCGTCCATCCCCAGATCGCTTTAGCATCCATAGTTACAGGGCCCTAGGCGCTATCCAGGCCACCCGTCACTGTATCCCAGCACGGAGTCAGTAGGTAATGTGTGCGTCCATTATTTCTTTTCCCTATTTTTTTACATGTGAAAAAATACACATAAAATAAAATTTACCATCTTAACCATTTTTAAGCACACTGTTCGGTGGTATTAAATACATGTATAATGTTGTGCAAACATCATTACCATCCACCTCCGGGACTCTTTGCATCTTGTAAAACTGAAACTTGGTAAACATTAAACCCCAATTCTGCACCCCAGTCCCCCTCCTTTCAGCCCCTGGCAACCGCTACTCTACTTTCTGCCTCTATGATTTTGACTACTCTAAGTAACTCATATAAGTGGAATCATATAATATTGGTTCTTTTGTGACTGGCTTTATTTCATTTAGCATAACGTCCTAAAGGTTCCTTCATGTTACAGCACAGGTTAGAATTTTCCTTCCTTTTAAGGCTAGTATTCCATTGTGTATATATCACAGTTTTCTTATCCATTTATTGTCGGTGGACACTTGGGTTGCTTCCACGTTTTAGCTATTGCGAATATCCTGCTATGAACACAGGTGTACAAATATCTCTCTGAGATCCTGCTTTCCATTCTTTTAGGTACATACCCAGAAGTGGAAGTGCCAGATTATATGGTAAATCTATTTTTAGTTTTATGAGGAGCTTCCATACTGTTTTCCACAGCAGCTGCACCCTCTTAGATTCCCACCAACAGTGCACAAGGGTTCCAACTGTTCCACATCCTCGCCAACACTTGCTTTTTTCTTTTTGGTTTTTTGATAGCAGCCATCCTAGTGTGTGTGACATGGTATTTCATTGTAGTTTTGCATTTCCTTCATGATTAGTGATGGTGAGCATCTTTTCATGTGCTCATTAGCCTTTATTTTGGCATGCTGCTGTCGACAGGAGTCATGGCTCACACTGCGCCCCTGTAGTCCTCCCTACTGCATCCAGCACAGAGCATGGGCAATTAGGCACTAAAAAGACTTACTGAAGATGCAGAGCAAAAGGTAATACAACTGCATGGTTAAGCACATGGGTTTTCGATTCTCCTAGATCGGGTTTGAATCCTCATTCCACACTTAGGAACTGCTGGCTATTGGACCCTGGGCAGGTTACATCCCTCTCTGGGCTTTCTCCTCTGTAAAACTAG